ACAGTACATTTTTTAAATAGCCATACATTTATACACATGTGAATGCCCACTTACGTTTCATTGGTGTTTATATACAAAAAATTTTCTGTCCTCAGTGTAATTTATATTTTATTTCTAGACATAGAAGAGTAATGTTCCAATATATCATTATTGCAGGGCTTACCCAGCATATTGGCTACATTTTAGTATTACTGTATTTGTCTGAATCCAAGACAGCCCTGAATTTAAGATCACCCCCCAATACTTTGATTTTATACATAGAAAATTATAACAAATTTATACATTTCCCCCTTAAAAATCTAATTATTGGAGAATAAATTTATTTCCATCACCATTGTAGCTGGTAAAGCAGTGGAAGGGTTCAGGCAGTGAGGGAGGCGAGTGGTAGGAAGTGTAAAGACAGTGAGGGGTGTAAGCAGTTTGCCCACTGCCGCCTCCCCCCTCCCAGCCTCTGCACCCCCACAGCCTCTGTTCCCTACCCTTCCTTGTCCCTGTCTGCACCTGCAGCCTCAGTCCCCTGCCCCCCTTCCCTCATGTCCCTCTCTCTAAAGCCTCTGCCCCCTGCCTGCTCTACCTCCCTCCCCTGCCAGTGCTGGAGCAAGGGTAAGTGGGCGGGGGGGAGCAGGGGGTAGGCAAAGGCTGCTTGGTGGGAGATAAGGAAAAAGAGTGGGGGCAGTGGGTTCGGAGGCCTGGGACTGTGAGGATGCAGCAGGGGTCAGGCAGCACCCCCAGCTCCAGCCCCAACCCCGCCACCTCGTGCTCCATTCCAAGATGAGGGGCTTCCCCCTCCCCCGTGTTAAATAGCAAAAAAACCCCTCTCTTGGAATCAAGTAAATACGGTATTTTTTGGAATATCCTGGAGTCCTGAGGATTTTTAGAACCACCGTGTTCTCAGCAGTTTAAACCCTCAAAAAAGCACTCTAACAATATTAATCCTTCCAAGAAAATATTCTATGTTATATGGGAGAGGAAATGGAAAATACAACATGTATTTGTGCATACAATAGATTACTTTAATGATGGATGAAATGCCTGTATAAATTACCAACCAGAGAAAAATTCAGATGGGAAATTTATAAAATAAAAGATCCTGAGCTTTTCCAACCCCCCCCCCCCCCCCCCCCCCGACTTCCAAATGATTACAATTATAGCGTGGTTAACATTGACTAAGGTTAACTTTTTGCTCCCTTGTGTGCTGCCCTAATAGAAAAACTACTCTTCAGAACAAACAATATCATGAACATCTTCATTCAATCTTAGTTTAAAGTTCAGGGTCACTTCAATTGTGGGAGAGTTAGATGAAGAACTAATAGATTTAAGAGTCTGTGTGACGCATTTTGGACCTACCATCCTACACTTAGGACACTGCGCACAATGAGGCTCTGATCGCATAGATATTTACATGGGTGCTTAACCTTACCCACCTGGAGAATTTCCATTGACATTTGTAAATTTTACATGGAGCACATGGACATCTTAATTTAATTTTTTAAGGGTGGCATGTGATTTCTGCTTGAGCATCTTTTGTTTTATCTTAACTTGTTTATAAAAGTCCATTTATTTATGAACTTGTCTTTAGCTAGGTTTTTGACACCATCTTCCATCACATTCTCATCAACAGGCTCTGAAAATACAGACTAGGTAAAAGTATTGTAAGGTAAATACATAACTAGTTGGATCGTCTTGCTCAAGTAGTCATCGACAGCTCAGTGTTGAGTTGGTAGGAGGTGTATCAAGTGGGGTTCCCCAGGGGTCTGACCTGAGTCTGGTATTGTTTAATATCTTCATTAATGATTTGAATTATAGGACTGAGTGAATGCTTAGCAAGTCTGTGGACAGTGCTAAACTAGGTGGAGTTGTAGATGCTCTGGAGGGTAGAGCGAGGATCCAGAATCACCTAGGTAGAATGAAAAAATTATCCCCAATTAATCAAATGAAATTCAGCAAAGACGACTGTAAGTCCTTTGCTTAGGGAAGACTAATCATATGCACAAATACAGGTTGGAGAATGAGTAGGTATGCTCCAGTACTGCAGAGAAGGACCTGGGGATTTGAGTAGACCATAAGCTGAGTATGAGCCAACAGCGTATTCTTGTTGCAAAAAGAGCCTAGCATACTAGGCTGCAACAACAGAGAATCAAGGGAAGTGATTTTCCTGCTCTATTCAGAACTGGAATATGTTATGCAGTTTGGGACCTTGTGCTTCAAGAAGCATGTGGACAGTTGTAAAGAGTTCAATTCAAAGCAACAAAAATAACTAGGGGCCTGGAAAGTGAGGCTTATAAGGAAAGGCTTGAAAAGGGTTATTTAGTTTGGAGAAGACTGCAGGGAGATTTGATAACAAATACCTTCAAATACCTGAAAAATGATTACATAGAAGATGAAGATGGGATTTTCTCTGTGGCTGTAGGGGATATGACTGGGAGCAATAGCCTTTAAGCATCAGGAGGGGAAGTTTAGACTGGAGATTAGGAAGAACTTTTTTAATATAAGGGTGGCCAAGCATTGGAGCAGACTACTTGGAGAAACTCTGGCATCTCCATCCTTGGAAGTTTTCAAGAGCAGGTTAGACAAACACTTGGATGGGATAGCCTAGTCGGGCGTGATCCTGCCTTGAGCAAGGTACTGGACTAGATGGCCTCATGCGGTCCCTTCAAGCCCTGCTTTCCTATGATCCTGTCCACTGTGTTTAAAATAGCTTAATTTGTACTCTGATTTTTCTTTTAGTTTCTGCTTCTCTTCTGCATCTACAGATGGATGATAACATGCAAGATATTATGTAGTCTCTGTCATTGCTTTTACGCCAGTCCTCCTTGTTTTTGGAAAATAATGTGTGCTTTATTTGTTGTCCTTAAAATATGGGGAAATGTGTTGAAAATTATATCCTTAAGTACACAGGATTCTCCGACTCTTGTGTTTTCTCCTTCCACACTCCAAGACGAAGAATAGAATTAGCTGCTTTAATATTTTACAGCAAAATCCCCAGAGCTCCTAGCATGCCCTAAACATTTCCCACTTGATAAATTGCTATATTTTTGCCACCCCAATTTTATGTTTTCTAAAAAGGTGTTTGAAATTCTTAGCTGTAATATAACAGCTCCCATACTGTGCTGCACTGATGAATAACACTGGCATTTCTTTTTTTCCTATCTGTCTACCACAGTGGATGTGAAAACACCCTCCTTCCAAGCGCATTGGGATAACAGATGTGAATAGACTAGTGGGGTGGCAGAAAGGAGGTTCTTGTTTTCAGTCCAGAGTGGCTCTGTGCAGTTTAGTTGCCAGACACTAGATAATACTGCCAAGACCTGAATTCTCCACCTCAGCAGCA